CCGAAACTCGCCGCTTACCAATTGCAATCACAATGAGGTGTATAACGGAGGCGTAGCCAGGAGGTGAACCAAGTACTTCTAGATGTCAAATAACCCGTCAGAAAGCTCGTATACTCCCTCGACAGTTAATAGTGCAAGGCCAAGGAGACGCAAGCGCAAAGGGACGTCGGACTGGGGGTACGCATGGTCTCCAGAAAAATGGGGGTGAAAATAGAAGCTTCTATGGGTATTTAGCCACATTAACAACTTGCCTAAGTTTGGGTGCACACCGCCAAGGAGAACCATACCTTCGTCAACTCTCTCGATAACGTTGGCCCATTTATGCCCGGCCATGGCTTTGGTCAGCCGATTGACCATCGCACTCTGGCTAAATAGAACGGTCAGCATCGCGAGCGGAAAAGGCCCTGTGCATGGGATAAGCGTGGTGATTTGCTTGATGCGATCGTTGGTTCGGTTCCCTGCCAGTCTCCGTGCAGCGTTTGGTATGAACATTTCTCCCGTATTCCTAGCGGTGGACATCAACGGCGTACTCCCGGTCTGGCAGTAAGTAATCGCCATAATTGCCACTCCTAATGCAGCGTCTGTTTGGCTAATAGCGGCGTCATTAGCTGTCGGAGGTACTTGCGCCTTTACGACAAAAGTCGGGTCTCTCTTTCGAATGCGGTACACAACGTTGCTGTCATATGTGGGTAGCCCTAGCCTGGTCATCTCGGTTGACGACTTTCCGAACGGAATTTCAGCGACAGTTGCACAGAAAGTCACCCCGGCAACGTCTACAGCACCAGATATGTCTGGCATCGGATTGGACAACAAAACTGCGGCCATAGGTATACCTTCGCACAGGGTTACCCATGTTCCTGTGCTGGAGGCGTTACTCTTATACATTTCCACTACCTCCTTGTATGTCGAGTTTCCAGCAGTTTCGAGAGCCATGATGTGTATAGCGTATTCCACTTCGGACATCTCGATGGTCTTAGCGCTGGGTGGCGGATTGTTGGCTGCTTCTTTTCTGTCCACCGCATTTGTTGATGGCTTAGGCTCCGTAACCATCTCCCGCGATGTCTCAAAACTCATACCTTGCTCCTCAGTCTCCGGGTCAGAACTCCTTTCATTAACTTGGTCTGGGCGATTGACCGATTCCATATCCAACACTGCCATGCCGGCCGCTTGCGCTCTTGCCGTGGTGCCAGAGAGCGAGTTGACCATTTGCTTAATTTGCTCCTGACTGAGTGAACCTCGTCTCTCCTCTTTCGCGTTACTCATTACTTGCTTCCCCCTTACTAGCCTTGTTCCATGCGAGAAACGCGTTGCAATACGTGCTGTCCATTTCTTCCCAGTCATCGCGGCGCGCAGTGACCTCCGGTAGGTTCTTCTTTCCATACAGTATGGTCAATTGGTTGAGGTCCTTGCTTTTGCGTCTCTCTACAGTCTTCTGCTGTTCAGCTTGTCCATCGTTCATCGCGCGTGCTCTCTGCAATTTGGAAAGTTCGGCAGTATCCAACAGCTTATCGTCTTTGGACGAAGGCAATTGCATGACCGCAAAGTCGGTGCTCATTTCTTCTCCGTGCGCTCTAACCTTATCCGGGTAGCTCGATTCCCCCTTAGCTGACGCTAGCTCCACTTTTTCATCGTTCGATAGGTCCTTACACAAGAACCTGGCCTCCATTCCAAGGATGTATTTGATTGTCTCTGGTTGGCATAGGAAACGACCCAAGCGCAGGACATCTCTCTGCCAGAATCGGTGCGATGTTAGTTTCTCAAGATCCCCTGCTGCTGGTGCTGACTTGCTTTTGCGATTAAGCAACCCCTCAGCAACACGCATTCCAGATCCGTCCAGGGGAAAAAGATCGGAGTCCAGGGGAAATAGCACCAAGGTGGGATCTGGGNAAAAACCCGAGTTTCCCGTCGTCGGGCTGTCGGTGGGCCTAAACGTCGGGGGTCACTCATTTTGGGTGTTAACAGTGTCCTTGCACACGAAGAAGGCGGGACTAGGAACCCCGCGTCTAGTGGCAGTTTCCATCATAGCTGTCGGAGCATGCCCCACAG